AGCTCTTTGCTGAGTGAGACTGAGACTCAACTTTTACCCCAAACCCAGCTGCCAGGATCCTTACTCTCTGAAAGCTGTCGTGCTGAACCCTGGGTGGTTTCATGCAGTCCCTTCCTCTTTCCTGCCCCTGTGTGACAGTCACTGCTTGGCTAACTAGGTGGGTAAATAGAGGAGCCTACTATCAATTCAAGGGGCTTTCTTTGGGAGAGTGCAGAGAGAAGCATGCTGTGAAACCACTTTCATCTTGTGACCTTCACTGAAATCCTGGGCAGTACAGATGTTATCTGACTGCTAAATATAAGCCTCATTTGAGAGACATATTCACCCTTCTCCTAGGCATCTGTAATTTTCCTGAAGCTGCCCAACTGGGGCTATCATGTGGAGAGATTCATAGATTAGTTCTGGGACCACCTACTACTTAATTCTCTTGGCTTAGAGGTATTCCCTGTTCCAATGCTGAGCCATCTTGTGGGGTAGGGCTAGTGATATTTATTTTTTTTCTGATTATTATTTTCACTTCCAAAACCAAAACACTTTTGTCGTAGATAAAAATGGAAAATTGAGGAAAGCAAAAAAAAAAAAAAAAAAATGTTAAAAACTGTTAAAAGTCTACTATTTATGGAGAAGCACTGTTAGCAGTTGAATATATATACAGTCATGTGTCACTTAATGATGGGGATACATTTTGAGAAATGTGTTGTTAAATTGTTTCCATGTGCTAATATCATACAGTATAGTTACACAATCCTAGATGGCATAGCCTACTATATACCTACGCTAGATGGTACAGCTTGTTGCTCCTAGGCTACAAACCTGTACAGCATGTTATGTACTGAATACTGTAGACAGTTATAGCAAAATGGTCAGTATTCGTGCATCTAAACATATCTAAGCAATAAAAATGAACAGTAAAATTATGATATAAAAGGTACCAAAATGAGGCTGGGTGCAGTGGCTCACACCTGTAATCCCAGCACTTTTGGAGGCCGAGGTGGGCAGATCACATGAGGCCAGGAGTTTGAGACCAGCCTGGCCAACACGGTGAAATGCTGTCTCTACTAAAAATACAAAAACTAGCTGGGCATGGTGGCGGGAGCCTGTAATCCCAGCTACTTGGGAGTCTGAGGCACGAGAATCACTTGAGCCTGGGAGGCAGAAGTTGCAATGAGCCGAGATCTTGCCATTGCACTCCAGCGTGGGCAACAGAGTGAGACCCTGTCTCAAAAAAAGAAAAGAAAAAAAGAAAGAAAAGGAAAGATACAACATGACATACCTATATAGGGCACTTACCTTGAATGGAACTTGCTTTGGGTGAGTGAGTAGCGAATGAAAGGGAAAGTCTAGGACATTACTGTATGCTCCTATAGACTCTATAAACACTGCACACTTAGGCTATAATAAATTCAATAATAAATTAGTTTACTGCAACCCTTTTACTTTATAATTTTTTATTTTTATTTTTTTACCTTTTTGACTCTGATAATAACAATTTGCTTAAAATACAAACACATTTTAGAGCTATAAAAAATATTTTATTTCTTCTTTTTTTTGAGACAGTGTCTTGCTCTGTCACCCAGGCTGGAGTGCAGTGGCCTGATCTTGGCTCACAGCAGCCTCCACCCCCCAGGCTCAAGCGATCCTCCTGCCTCAGCCTCATGAGTATCTGGGACTCCAGGTGTGCAACACCACACTCAACTAGGTTTTTTTTTTTTTAGACTAGGTCTCATTATATTGCCCAAGCTGGTCTCAAATTCCTGGGCTCAATGGATCCTCCCACCTCAGCGTCTCAAATTTCTGGGATTACAGGCATGAGCCACCATGCCTGGCTGTTTTCTTTCTTTATGTCTTTATTCTATATGCTTTTTGCTGTTAATTTTTTTTTTTTTTTTTTTTATTTTTAAACTTTTTTTTATAAACTAAGACACAAACACACACATGAGCCTAGGCCTACACAGAGTCAGGATCATCAATATCACCATCTTCGGTCCCCACATCTTGTCTCACTGAAAGGTCTTTGAGGGCAAAGTAACACATATGGGGCTCTCATCTCCTATGATAGCAATGCCTTCTTCTGGAATACCTCCTGAAAGACCTGCCTGAGGCTGTTTGCCTTTTTTTTAATATGTAGAAAAGTATGTTCTAAAGTAGTGATTAGTATAATAAACACATAAACCAGCAACATAGTCATTTATTATCATCAATTATTATGTACTGTACACAGTTGTATGTGCTATACTTTTATACAACTGGTAGCACAGTAGATTTGTTTACATAGGTATCACCACAAACACATGAGGAATGCGCTGAGCTATGACAGCTACAACAACCATGTCACTAGGCAACAAGATTTTTTCAGCTCCATTATAATCTTGTTGGACTGCTGTTGAATATGTGGGCCTTCATCAACTGAAATGTTGTTTTGTGGTGCATGACTATATATTGTTTTCATCAGTTCTATTATGCAAATATAACCATGCATATTTAGGAATGCTGTGAAATGATATCCTACTTAGAGCTGTGCAAATTGCTTTCTTTTTAACAGACATCATAATATGAATGGCAATCTATGCCAATCAATAAAAATTCACATAATAAAAATGGCAATATATTAACACTGATTTTTTTAAAAGGTTAATATTTATTACTGGCATCCTCAGTTCCTGACACTCTTCTAAGAGCTAAATCTATACCTATTTAATCCTCAGCATCATCTATAAAAAGGAGCTATTGTCTGTCTTTAAACATAAGGGAACTGAGGCACATTGAAGGCAGGGCTAGCAAGTGTCAAGACTTAGATCTGAACATAGGCTGTGTGGCTCTCAAGCCCCTACATCTAACCAATATGAGCAGCTGCCTTTCATCCAATAAGACTAGAGTGCAGCAGCACAATAAAACAAATTAACGTTTCCCATTTTTTCTGTTATGTAGGCAGACTTTTTATTTTATTTATTATTTGAGATGGAGTTTTGCTCTTGTTGCCCATGCTGGAGTGCAATGGTGCAATCTCGGCTCACTGCAACCTCCACCTCCTGGGTTCAAGCGATTCTCCTTCCTCAGCCTCCTGAGTAGCTGAAATTACAGGTGCCTGCCACCATACCCAGATAATTTTTCGTATTTTTATTAGAGACGGGGTTTCACCATGTTGGTCAGGCTGGTCTTAAACTCCTGACCTCAGGTAATCCACCTGCCTTGGCTTCCGAAACTGCTGGGACTACAGGCATGACCTGAGGTCAGGAGTTCAAGATCAGCCTGGCCAACATGATGAAACCTGTCTCTACTAAAAATACAAAAAATTAGCTAGGTATGGTGGTGTGCACCTCTAATCTCAGTTACTCGGGAGGCTGAGGCAGGAGATTTGCTTGAACCCAGGACGGGGAGGTTGCAGTGAGCCAATATCATGCCATTGCACTCCAGCCTGGGCAACAAGAGCGAAACTTCATCTCAAAAAAAAAAAAAGGAAAAATTATCATACTCCAAATCCTAGCACCCAAAGATAAGCCCTTGTAATGATTTCACCTACATTATATTCTTCCAGAAGTTTTATTTTGCAGGTATATATACATGTAAGTATGCATGCATTTATGTATTTACATACAAAAGATAATTCATCTTACATTTAGTTTTGTAACTTTCCTGTCTCACTGTAATGGGTTGAATTGTGCCTCCTCAAAAATATGTCCTAATTCTAACACCCACAATACCTTGTTTGGAAATAGAATCTGTGCAAATATAATCAAGCTAAAGATCTAAAGATGTGATCATCCAGTTCCCAGTATGATCATAAAAGAAAGGAGAGGAAAATTTGACACAGACAGGGAGAAAGGTCATGTGAAGATGGAGGAAGAGATTAGAATTACAAAGCAGGATCTCACCAGAAGATGAAAGAGGACAGGAAGGAATTTCCCCTGAGTCTTCAGAGAGAGTTGGCCCCGTCTAGACCTTGGTTTTGTACTTTTGGCTTTGGTTTTGTGCTTTTGAACTCTGAAATAATAAATTTATGTAATTTGTTATGGCAGCCCTAGGAAATTTATACACTCACTAACAACATACCACAAATTGGCATTCCTTGTGAATAAACTTTAGACTACGTGCTATTTTTTATGACTACAGTTATACTAATGCCAATAAAACATATAAAGAGAAATGACTAAAATTTCATATATACGATATGCATTTATGTATCGGGTCATTAAATTTTCACAGCACCTTTACAAGGTAGAAACTGTGGCTAATGAAAAACTGATGACGGAGAGAATAAGGACTCTGCCTGAGACTGTACAGTTAGGGAGTGAGACAGCTTATATTTGTGTCCAGAGCCTGCGAAACTGTGAAAGTTCTGTTGGGTGGAAGAAGCAGTCTGTGCAAGCATGCATGTTTTAGGAGATAACTTTTAAAAAGCAATACTCATTATGATAATATATTTACACACACACACACACACACACACACACACACTGGACCTAGTGACCAAAAGGTGGATTTTAACCTTGGTGAGATCATGTTTGTTGCAATCCTGGAAATAGACATCACTGTGCAATGATATAAGGAGTCCATGGGAAATGAAGAATGTTAACAAGGAATGCAGAAAATCCTTTTGGTACTTTGAATTTGAAAGGAAAGAGAGAGACCTAGAAATACAGATATATTTGTAGAGAGAAGGATTCTGTGGCTGAATAGGAATGAAGGGTTCAATGAAAGAGTTTTTAAAATCTTCAATTCCATGAAACTCGAGCAAGTTTTCAAATTAATGTAAAGAAGCTGTCGTATCTTAGGTTTAACCCTTGAAGTTGCCTATATATTTATTTCCCTTCTTACATTCTTATTTCCACTTTGAAGAACATGTGACCCTTCTTACATTCTTATTTCCACTTTGGAGAACATGTGACCCTTCCAATGAACTAATAGGGGTTTTGAGCTTAATATATATTTACTTGTTAGTAAATGAAAGAGTGGACATTGAATGAAAGAAATGCTAGTCCTCTTGGATTTTTTTTCTTCAGGGAGGCAGCAGGTGGCTGAAATCCTGGTGTGATGTGGCTGGATTATGCATGATCTGAGGACTACTGCACAGGTAACTGCAGGATGAGTTCAGAATTTTTCTATAAATATATTAAAATACAAAGTAATCCAGGAGCAGCCACTAGGCAAACACCAAACCTTGCATTCCTGACCAGATCTATCACAGAGCTCATCAGGTAAGTTCAAAGACACACCTGTCTTCCCAGCACTGGGAACTGGATTGGGGTCTGCTCAGAGGCATGATGCTGACCAGGTTTTATGAGATTAGGAAACACCCAAGAATGTAGAGAACATACTTTCTCTAAAACTTTGAATTCAAAACATATCAGAGAGAGATTTGCTTTCCTTATATGGATGTCTGTGTTCTCATTAGGAGAGAAACAGTGAAAAATGACTTTGCATGATGCCTGCCTTTGCCCTGAGGCTCGGCCAGCCTCCACTTCTGTGTCTCAATATTTAAAGGGCAATTGAGATCTTACTCCATGCTATGTATTCTCCACAGGTTTTCTCATTAACCCCTCAGGACAGCTCCATAAGGATGGTATGGTCAGTCCCATTTCACAGATGACTAAGCTCAGGCTCGCAGAGCCTAAGTCACTTCTTCAGGTAAGTGGTAGTTTTGGAATGAGGTTCCATCCCTCACTCTCCCTAGAGAACTCTGAGCAGCTTCCCTTTTAGAAGATGGGCTTCCAAGGTTTAAGAAATGGTCAGATCCCACTCCCCTGCTATTGTGGCCCCAGAGTTCCTCACTCCACAACCCCCCTGGGTGATGAGGAAGACAGATGAGATAAAATCCTGAGCTTTGTGTCAAGAGACATGGGTGTAGGGCCACATGAGTTGGCTAATCCCTGAAGTGGTGAGTGGGCTCAGGCAGAAGCTCAGGTGTTGGCCTTGGGACAGGTGAGCTGGAGAGAAGGAAAGTAACATGCAACAAACTACTGTAAGCCAATGCAATTTACATCTCATCTCCTTTAATCCTAACAACCATTCAAGATACCCATCGTTCTGACCATTATTCAGATCAGTGTGCTGTCTTTAGGGGAGTTTATGTAAGTCAGGGAAACAACCTGGTTGTCTTGTGATCATCAGCTAACTCTGGAATACTCCAAAGTTGTATCATTTTCTCTTGATATCTCCAGGGTTCTGAATGTTCGAATCTCCCTGCAGGCTGAGAGCACCTGCTCCTCATGGTGGTGTTCAACACTTTTTCTTTTTAAATTCTGACCTGTATATTTTTGTCACATTATTGAAATTTAAAACACTTTCTCAATAAAAATAAGGCTAAACATTTTTTAACACAAGGGAGAAAACATTTGCAAACTACATCTCAGATACTGGGTTAGTATCCATGATTTGTGAACCACATTCTGTAACAACATGACTGGCAACTAATTTCAACAGAACAGTCTCATTAAAATATACACGAACAATAAACATGTTAAAATATGGCAAAACTGAAAGTACTAATAAGATGCAAATATAAATCTTCAAAAAATATTATGTGGAAGAAACAAGTTGCAAAGAAAAATTAGTACTGTGATTCCACTTTTGGAACAGATTGTGTGTGGGTGAACATGTTTGTGTGCACCTCACCTACAGGGACACATCTGGAGAGTATGCACCATTCTGTTGATAACAGACCCTTTTGGGTCAGAGGATAGGCTTTGGGCCGGTGAGAGATGAAGATTCATTTCAATTTAGAAATATACTTTTATATATTGTTTGAAATTTTGTATTTAGAGAAAAAAGCATTGCAATAAATACTTTTGAGTAGATTGGCAAAAGTAATTGTAATGTATTTCATTAACTTGAAAGTACATTCGTTGTATTCAAGTTTATATTGAGACAAAGTAGATAAAAATGGAACTGATAATGTGTGTGTGTGTGTGTGTGTGTGTGTGTGTGTGTGTATGTGTGTATCTTCTCTTGCCCTATCACCTAAATAAACATAGATGTAGCTTTATCTTCAATTGAGACAGGGGATGGAACCAATATCAGTTTTAGATATCCCAGAAAATGGTGGATACAGAGAGATAGCTACCATGAGCTGAATAATTCTGAAAAAATTCCAGCTGATACCTTCTTGGAGCCACGTTCTCAAACTTCGTCCCTCTTTGCCCTCTTACCCAGGCCCCTGGCTGACAGAGATTCAATACTGGCTGTGGCCACCAGATGGCATCCATCTCTCTCT